CGTCCTACCGTAGGCTGCATCGGTAGTGGTCAATCAGGGCCCTCTCATTCCATCCCACGCTGGCAGCCAGGGTCCTGAAGTCCAGTGCAAAGTCTTGTGCGCTCCTCTTCCCCTGTCTGAGGTGGAACAGACGTTCCCCCGCCGCTCTCCCCTCCGGTGGATGATCGAATACCGCCCGGAAGTGGCGGGTGAAATCTTCATAGTGCACCGACTCCACGTCTATTCCTCCCCACTCTGCGTTGGCTCACTCGAGCGCTCTCCCCGACAGACAGGAGTTGAGGGCGCACACGCTCTCGTTTCCCGAGAGAGCCGGGTGGATGGTAGCCAGGTAGAGCTCTACCTGGAGCAGAAAACTCTGGCACCCGGCAGCTGTACCATCATATGCCCTCGGGAGCGAGAGCCGAATCCCACTGGACCCAGGTGACGAAGGGGTGGACAGCGGTGTGGGCTGCTGTGTAGTTGGAGGAGGAGTAGGAAAACCCCCTCCCTCCCATCGCTCCATGGTGTTCAAAACGCGCTCCATTGCTGTGCCGAGAGTCTGTATCATGGTCGCCTGCTGTTGGACTCGTTCCTCCACTGATCTGGAAGGAATGAATGCACCTGCTAACTCCATTTGAGGTGCGTGTTTCTGTCAGGCGTCAGTGTGTAGTGGTAGGACGGAGTCAGGCGCAGGACACAGAGCTAGTAGACAACGTACTTTACTCGTAAATAACAAATTAACATAAACTCCACGCAGGGAGGAACAATCCCACTCACCAGTCGATAACACCAAACATAGAACAAACACGCAACACAACACAGTGGGAGCCAGAGGGTTAAATAGGGAACAAATCATAGACATAATGGGAACCAGGTGTGTACAATGAAGACAAAACAAGTAGAACACAGAAACATAGATCGGTAGTAGCTAGTACTCCGGTGACGACGAATGCCAAAGCCTGCTCGAGCAAGGAGGAGGAGCAGCCTCGGCTGAATCCGTGACAGACTCATCCCAAACCATCTCAATTGGTTTGAGGTCAGGGGATTGTGGAGGCCAGGTCATCTGATGCAGCACTCCATCACTCTCCTTCTTGGTAAAATAGACCTTACACAGCCTGGTGATGATAGTCCCACTAAGCCCAAACCAGATTGGATGGTGTATCGCTGCAGAATGCTGTGGTAGCCATGCTGGTTAAGTGTGCCTTGAATTCTAAATAAATCCCAGACAGTGTCACCAGCAAAGCACCCCCACACCATAACACCTCCTCCTCCATGCTTTACGGTGGGAACTACACATGCAGAGATTATCTGTTCACCCACACTGCGTCTTACAAAGATTTGGACTCTAGACCAAAGGACAGATTTCCACCGGTCTAATGTCCATTGCTCATGTTTCTTGGCCCAAGCAGGTCTCTTCTTCTTATTGGTGTCCTTTGGTAGTGGTTTCTTTGCAGCAATTAGACCATGAAGGCCTGATTCACCCAGTCCCCTCTGAACAGTTGATGTTCAGATGTGTCTGTGACTTGAACTCTGTGAAGCATTTATTTGGGCTGCAATTTCTGAGGCTGGTAACTCTAATTAATTTATCCCCTGCAGCAGAGGTAACTCTGGGTCTTCCATTCATGTGGTGGTCCTCATGAGAGCCAGTTTCATCATAGCGCTTAATGGTTTTTGCGACTGCACTTGAAGAAATGTTCAAAGTTCTAGAAATGTTCCTTATTGACTGACCTTTATGTCTTAAAGTAATGATGGACTGTCGTTTCTCTTAGCTTATTTGAGCTGTTATTGCCATAATATGGACTTGGTCTTTTACCAAATAGGGCTATCTTCTGAATCAGTGTCTGATGTGAGAAGCACCACTCTGTTCTGGAGTCTCTCCCAATGCTGTAGTCAAAGCCAAGGTGCTCCTATAATTAAACCCGCTGCAGCTGACGTTCCAATACGTTTCCAGCCTTGGCTTCCAGTCAAAGGCGGCTGTAGCTGTGGGCAGTGTTATGCTCCTTATCACTGATGTTTATGGTTAACTGGGGTACATTTAGTGGTATTACCAGCATGGTGAGCTAGGAGGGTGTGATAAGTGTGCCCTTCTGTTGTCATCTGATGGAGGAACCAAGCAACCCAAAAAAGATCAGTTCCTCATAGATGGGCATAATCATCAGAACATGTGTCACGACTTCCTCCGATGCTGCCTCCTCTCCTTCGAGTTTGTCATCTTTTTATGATTTACCCTCCTGCACCTGACTCCATCCAAAATCACCCGCTACAACATGCCACAGAGCACAAAATGAAAAGGACGTTTGTTTGTGTGTGTCTATCACAATTCTACTTTAAACTTCAGAGCAGAAGGAAAGGCAGATAAATAAATCCAAGTCAACCAAAGACTGTGGATGGTGGCAGACTACCACGGAATAATATAATACATTGTTTGCCACAACATGCATCATGTACTGAATACACTGGAACGAGGAATCCTGAGAAAAATTGTAGTTCCTGTCTGGAGATAGTCTTTCTTACATAATTTGCTCAAATAATTTGCTCAAATTATGAAAGTCAGGTGGATTCCGCATTTATAAAGGCAAAACTGCTCCAGCTCCTTCAAGTTGGATGGGTTCCGCTGGTGTCCAGCAATCTTTAAGTCATACCACAGATTCTCAATTGGATTGAGGTCTGGGCTTTGACAAGGCATTTAAATGCTCCCCCTTAAACCACTCAAGTGTTGCTTTAGCAGTATGCTTAGGGTCATTGTCCTGCTGGAAGGTGAACCTCCATCCTAGTCTCAAATCTCTGGAACACTGAAACAGGTTTCCCTCAAGAATTTCCCTGTATTTAGCGCCATCAATCATTCCTTCAATTCTGACCAGTTTCCCAGTCCCTGCCAATGAAAAACATCCCCACAGCATGATGCTGCCACCACCATGCTTCACTGTGGGGATGGTGTTCTCTGGGTGATGAGAGGTGTTGGGTTTGTGCCATAGATAGTGTTTTCCTTGAAGGCCAAAAAGCTCAATTTTAGTCTCATCTGACCAGAGTACCTTCTTCCATATGTTTGGGGAGTCTCCCACATGGCTTTTGGCGAACACCAAACGTGTTTGCTTATTTTTTTCTTTAAGCAATGGCTTTTTTCTGGCCACTCTGTGGAGTGTATGGCTTAAAGTGGTCTTATGGACAGATACTCCAATCTCCGCTGTGGAGCTTTGCAGCTCCTTCAGAGTTATCTTTGGTCTCTTTGTTGCCTCTCTGATTAATGCCCTCCTTGCCTGGTCCGTGAGGTTTGGTGGGCGGCCCTCTCTTGGCAGGTTTGTTGTGGTGCCATATTCGTTCAATTTTTTAATAATGGATTTAATGGTGCTCCGTGGGATGTTCAACGTTTCAGATATTTTTTTATAACCCAACCCTGATCTGTACTTCAACTTTGTCCCTGACATGTTTGGAAAGCTCCTTGGTCTTCATGGTGCCGCTTGCTTGGTGGTGCCTCTTGCTTAGTGGTGTTGCAGGCTCTGGGGCCTTTAAGAACAGGTGTATATATACTGAGATCATGTGACACTTAGATTGCACACAGGTGGACTTTATTTAACTAATTATGTGACTTCTGTATGTAATTGGTTGCACCAGATCTTATTTAGGGGCTTCATAGCAAAGGGGGTGAATACATATGCACGCACCACTTTTCCTTATTTATTTTTTTAGAATTTTTTGAAACAAGTTATTTTTTAAATTTCACTTCACCAATTTGGACTATTTTGTGTATGTCCATTACATGAAATCCAAATAAAAATCCATTTAAATTACAGGTTGTAATGCAACAAAATAGGAAAAAAGCCAAGGGGGATGAATACTTTTGCAAGGCACTGTACAGTACAATGCCATTAAAATCATCAAGGATGACACAAAAAAGTTAAAAAGTTATTTCCATTGTGGTCCTCTTGAAAATATACACAAGATTATAACATGAAAACGTAACACATCTAAAAAAAATGTCATCAATAGGGAAAAACATACACAAACTGTACAATGTGTAACTAATGTAATAGGTAGGCCATGCATTTTGAATAAGCAGAACATTATTTACTGTTAAAGACATGATCATGATTCCTCATCAACTCAATAGATTTTAGATAATTTAATGAATTGTTCTTTCTCCCAAAAACACAAAGAGTAGAGAAAATTGTTTGATGTCTCACTTAGGAAGCATATTGTCCAACACAATACGAGCACTGGTGTGTTGTTAGTAAGCAGTTCACATAGATTATGTCTTGTATTATTTACAAGGAAATCATGTAATGTTAGGTGAACTCTACTTCTTTTTAGGCTTGGGCTACGGTTATTACGAGTTTACTAATCAACAAAGTCCCAGGATTTAACTCCCTTCATAACAATTACATTCAAATTAGTAGATTGACAAATAGAAAGTATGGTTATTCAAATAAAAGTGGACAATCCATATCAGAGACTGTAAACTGACACCAAGTTTAGCCTATAAATATGTTGTTGATTAATACAGTATCAAGTGTATTTTAGATTTAGGGATCCGATTAGGTATCAGACATGGAGGTCAAACATGGTCGCAAGGGCTGCGTTCACACAGGCAGACAAATTCTGATATTTTTTCCACTAATTGGTCTTTTGACCAATCACATCAGATCTTTTTCAGAGCTGATCTGATTAGTGATAATATTATCAGAATTGGGCTGCCTGTCTAAACGCAGCCAATGTACCCACATCTGTTCAGTCAGGATCAGTTAAGTTCATTCGGGTTCATGTCCCCAATTCAAGATCAATGGATAGATTTCCAGTTGATACAGACATTCCTGAAAATGCTTTGGTGTGGTTAGTCTTGTCATCAAGCTCTGTCTGGCACACAAGACATGGCATGGTTTCAGAGGAGGCTGGTGGGAGGAGCTATAGGAGTACAGGCTCATTGTAATGGCTGGAATGGAATCAATGGAACGAGGTCAAACACGTTGTTTTGATGTGTTTGGTACCATTCCATTGATTCCATTTCAGCCATTACAATGAGCCCGTCCTCCTATAGCTCCTCCCACCAACCTCCCCTGCATGGTGTGCACTGTAGCCTTTGTATCTCAGATTTAATGTCTCCTAAACCCGTTATGTAATCTCATCAGAGTTAGCTTGTGCTGTGCATCATGAAACTCAATCCATGTTTAAATTACACAATGTTCTTCAAGTCAAATAAGCTATTTATTAGGCATATATTAACACATGTTCTAACATGATGTATGAGGTCAGACATAATATATAGCTAGTAAAAAGCTGTAATCCAACACAAATCAATCAAGTTCAAGCATTACCTCTGATGCCCATAACAAACAAATACACTGCAGCTGTAAGCAACAAATTAACATACAATATTGAGTTAGATACTGATGTTAAATCTTCAGTAAACAATAGCAGCAAATTGTCTAAGTTCCTATTGAGAAACATATCCAAATCTATCAGTGCAGAGTCATTCAATGTTAAAAAGGACTTAGGTCTCCTTAGTTCTGTATGGTTCCACCACAGATGATGTCACACCAACAGGGTGATGATAACATCATCATCCTGCCCTTGCCACAGCATCTCCCCCTTGAACACCACCTTCCCATGCTTCCTGGCTCTCAGAAGAATCCCCACCACCTTGTCAGAGATGCGTACGTATCTATCAAACAGTTCTCTGAAAGTAACTCGGGTCTTCCCGTCCGGATCTGGGTCATTCATAGTCCTGATCACATAGCACATGTCGGATATCTCACCGTGGATGTGTTGCTCGGCTCGCCTGGCCCGTTCGGCCGTTTTCGTGCCTTCCTTGGGACGTCCGTAACCCTCCTCGCCCTTGCGGAGGCGTAAGGACATCGAGTATTCATAGTCAAAATCATCACTGAAGGGGTTGAGCTTCTGGTTGACGGTATGCGTCGAGGACCAGTTCTGCCAGCGGCTCTTCAGATCGCCCACAGCACTGTACTTCTTTGAGAGAGCATTGATCTTGTTGGCGTCATCCAACTCCTTTTTGCCCCTGTGAAGGACAATCACAAAAATATTTACCAAAAAATGAAACAATCATCAATCATGGCAACATCTATTTCCATTGTAAAGTTCAGAACAAGTTTCGCACTATGTGCTATATACAGTTATAGGTGTATTAACATTATCCCTTACTTACTTGGGGGAAGTGAATGTAAGTGTTTAATGAGGGGCCGTCATGCACCATCACTTGTACATGAAGAAAGAACATTGAACTCACACTGAGATGGAGGGTCTTTTGACCCTCACCCATGACTCAACTTTCCCTTTAGGTGAGACGCTGTCATTGTCCCTCTGCTTGGCCTCTCCGGATGACCCAATGCTATCTGTCTGGCCAGGTTTAGAGGTGTCTGTCTGTCCAGGTTTAGAGCTGTCTGTCTGTCCAGGTTTAGAGCTGTCTGTCTGTCCAGGGTTACCTTGGCCGCCCTCCGCCTCAAGGGCCCTTTCCTCTGCCTCAGAGTACCCAATATCCTCTGTGTCCACGCTACAGGTGCGCCCATCTCCAAATTCTCCCTCTGACGGTACATTCCGCTCCTTCTCCTCCTTCCAACTGCGGGTCCGCTCCAACACTTTGGAGCACTTTCTGAGGTGTGTGGGCGACCCCCTCTTGCTCAGCATCCTGTCTATCTCCTCCCCTGGCAGTGGAGCCTCCTTACAAATCCGCTCGGTCAGATATGTAATGCCCACACTCCTCTCCTGAATGCCGCTGGTCACAGTCTTCACCACCTGCTTGGTCTTGATCCGGGACTCCCCTAGAGGCACTAGCGGGGTCTTCCTTTTACCCTCCGATTGGGAAGGAGGACAACTGCCTTGCGACTCCTGCTGGGCAGCTGAAGAGTTGTTCTGAGCAGCAGGTATGTTGGTGCCAGCGGTAGGATCCTGACTGGGACAAACCTTCTTCTCCCAGGTTCCTAATTTCATGGTGCTTGGTGTCTTTGGTGGTTCATCCCAAAGTTCTCTTAGGGCGTCAGGAGCCCAGCCGACAGGCTCCTTGGCCTGCTTGTCCTCGATCTCGGACACCCAGTTCTGCCAGCTCCGGGTCAGGCTGGACACCATGCAGATGGTGCGCAGCTTCTTGATGTTCTTGTTGGTGGAAGGCTTCCTCTGGTCAGCCTGTGCAGTCTGAGTCTCAGCCATGATTGGTTTGTATCGGTCGGTGTCAGGTTTATTTAGATTTTGTATTCTTGCCAGACTAGTTGCTTTTACAGTGTTCATGAAGCTTCTCTCTCTTTCTCTGTGGGACTGTCTCTCTGACCCTAATTGCCTGCCCTGTTGCCTTCTACCCTCACTCTGGCTTAAAATGGGAGGCGTGAACTCTACATGACGATGGAAAGTATTTGAGACATCCCTGCCTCCCCGCTGATCGTCTTTCCCTGACACTTGCCGACCTCAAAGGATTGGTGTGCTCACATTTCCTCACAGACCATGGGCCATCTCTGGAGGTAAACAGGGCAACATAGCAAGGGTGTGCTAAGCTCTTAAAGGACCAGTGCAAACGTGTGGGTAACTGCCTAGACAAATGCAAAGACTAGCTGATCTATGAAGTTTATTTGGATGTGACGCCTCAAAGCGGTCTGTTTTTGTTTGGTGTGGGGAATACATATGGATGCATCACTGCCTACTCTTAAAACTTGCATTATGTTTTCAGGGAAACCATGCTTGTGTACTGCTGCCAGACTGCAATCTATGCAGTATTTATTAGCATTGTCAAATTTGGCATGACAACTGCGAAGTCCATAAAGTTACTGTATATGGAGACCCAAGGGCATCCTTTTGTACATGATATTGCAAAAATAACATACACACTGCATTACACAGAGAGAGCAAACATGAATGAGATTAATCCACATTTGCATTTTCAATAATGGTACTACTAACAAATGTCACTACATGACACTGGTGGTGATTGCTAATCACAACCCCAAAACCAAACTGCCTGTACAGTATATCACCTGTCAGACGACAATGCAGCAGCTGCTGTCTAGAAAGTGCTATCAAAATACTGCCACTAGTTCAGATGATCTTGTAGACGATAATGAGTAAATACCATAGGAGTAATCCTATTTAACGGTGTCAATCCAGTTGGGTGGCCTGTCTGGCCGCATGTGTCACCAATATTTGTGTTTGCGAAGGCATGAAATGTAATGTATTTTTGAGTATTAAAAATCACAATGACTTTTCCAGGAAAAAGGAATCTAAGAAAGGGGACATTAGCACTCAATAACTGCATCTGAAATGAGGGGGGCTGAAAGAAGGAAAAACCCCTTATAACACTCACAGTGGTGAAATAACAACAGTAATTCAGAAACTTGACAACTAAAATGAAATAGGGCAAGCCACCCACTGGGCAAAAACTGATTGAATCAACATGGTTTCCACGTAATTTCAATAAAATAAAAAAATCTATGTAATGACGTTGAATCAACGTGGAAAACTGATTAGATTAGCAAAAAGCCATCAACGTAAGGGAATTTCATCTTGTTTTCACCCAACCTTTAACCTAAAACCAATTAATGACATGGTTAATTTTTTGTTGTTGATTTCACGTTGAATTTACATTTTTACATTTTAGTCATTTAGCAGACGCTCTTATCCAGAGCGACTTACAGGAGCAATTAGGGTTAAGTGCCTTGCTCAAGGGCACATTTACGTCATTTAGCAGATGCTCTTATCCAGAGCGACTCACCAATTGGTGCGTTCACCCTATAGCCAGTGGGATAATCACTTTACAAATTCATGTTAGTTGACAACTCAACCAAATGTAAATCAAAACTAGACGTTGAAATGATGTCGGTGCCCAGAGGACAATCAATCAAGTCAAGCTCAGGCTCAAAACATGTCAGTGACAGACAGAAAGACAATGAGGGTTGATGCAATACAGAAAGATATACTGTATGGATTGTGCTGAGGCAAGAAGCTTAGAGCAACTACACCTGCACAGGCGGTTTTTGTGGGACACAGGGACCAGAGGGGGTGTCAAAGACAGGAGGAGACATTTGATCCAGGGACCAAAGGCACACGGACTCTAACCAGGAAAGAATGTGACACCTGGAGAAGACGAGGAGCTCCTGCTTATGCATGTAGGGTTTAGTCTTGCAACGCACCTGGTAGAGAGATCATAGTTTAGAAACAGGGAGGGTGGGGAAGCACTGACTCTGGCATTGCACCCAGTGCTTTAAGACTCTAAATTTCATGTTAGAAAGTGGGCATGTGAGTTTTAGATGTATACATGTGTACGTGTTCAGCTCTCTAGACATAGCCTAATGTGATAGTGTACATGTGTGGATGTTTATGTTAATCTGTGTGTGTGTGTGTGTGTGTGTATGGGTCAATTAGAGGAGAGGGATATATTAATAGAATCTGGCCCAAGCATTCACAGGTCAACAAGCTAGTGAGAGGCAGCTATTGGCAGTCAGTCACACTGTGTGGAAGTGTGTCAGTGAGAATGAACAGAGGAGCCATGTATACCTCTCAGGTCATTGCGGATACCAGATAACCTCATAAGCAGGTTAGAGCTTCACCTTGTGGACAAATATGTTAATTACCTCCGAAAATAATTTATGGGGTATGTACGGTTTATGGGTATGAAAGGCCTACTCTGTCTTGCACCTGAAAATAAATCACATTGTTCTTTTTGTATTGTTTTGGTAAACAATTCAGTTGAAAAGGATTTCTAAATAGGTGTCATATTTAAATCACTTGAATCGTGAAAACATGGGAGGAAAATAGTCCTTATCATATAATGTTATTTTGACCCAAAAAAACAATCTGCAAAATTATAAGAATTTAGCAGTGTGACATTTTGGGGAGGTTTTTGGCACTTTAGCCCTGGGCCTTGTTTTGGGAAAATGCCTATAGAAAATATATCTGGGTACTCAGATTAGGTTGTAGATAAACTTTCACAGACTTCTAACACATTTCTATGTAACGTTTACTCCTTAAAGAAGCCTTATCAAGACAGTTTAGAGTTTTGATTTTAATAATATTTTTGTAAAAAATGGATTGTTTGTCTAAAAACATACATCTCATTAAAGAACACCATCCAACAGTATTTCTACTGATATCTAGTGACAAAAGTAGGAACTTCACCTGGTCAAGGTAGCGTTGCAAATAAACATTCACCAACTATATTCATCACACCAGAACTCTAAAAAGCAACAGTTGTTGAGAATGGTAAGCTCAGTAAAACACCAGCAGAGGTCCCCACAAGGTCAGTGTTGAGTCTGTATGGCTCTGTAGTGCTAGAGAACGATGCAAGAGAACACTGTTCTCAGTCTCCAGTGGTCAAATAGCCTAAAGGGGATTGAGTGGGTGAGTGAGTCAGAGATGGACAAATTAGGTCTATGGTTTATGAGGAGGTAGAGAGACAGACAGACAGACAGACAGACAGGCATGTTGAGCTAGAGCTGTTGTTACCTAGCCTGATTCACCATCCTGATCTCGCAAGCTTACATTGTTTCAGGATGGTGGATCAGGTTAGTGGTTACCATGTACTGCATGTTCTCAGACCGGACGCAACTCTTCATGCTGCTTGTGCTGTATATCACAGACTAATAAATATCACCTCACCACTGCTGCCCCAGCTTCCCATCCATCAGTGTGGGGGCCCATACCCAGAGTGGACCAGGGAAATCAGATGGTTTTCATTCTGGCACCGCTCATAAACAGATTAATTACATTAATTATTCAAAGAGATGGTTGCTTTATTTGGAGTTCCAGGTGTAAATACTATACATTTCTTATTGAAAGTCCATTCCGGTCTGGTCTTTTAAGCCACCTGGACTGGTGGTCCAGACACTGCATCCAGGCAAGCGGAAAGGGCCAGAACAGAGTGAGTGCACCTGCGTTTCCTGGTGCGTATCAAAACGATTGCTGTTAGTCCTCTGTTTTATTTGCCTTTTATTCCTTAGAGACGGCAGCTCTTCAGCGGGGTTGTTTTAGTTGGCCATCGAGATTAATTGTCCGGGATTAGGACCGAAGCTGGTGGAGAAGCGACCTCTCAGGCACTCTGTGACCCCTGCTGGTGATGCTGATTTGTGGGGTGCTCTTAGTGGGCTGCATATGGTTAATAAAATGTTCTGTTGTTCTAATCTGCCTGTGATTAACATGCCTTATTAACTCGGAGCACTGATAAAACATAGATGCTTTTATCCATGTTATTTTGATTGCCTAGGAATCTTGTGTGCTGTCCTTAAGATTGGATCAAAATGAGGGGGGCTGTTTTGGGGGACAAATACAGCATAACATTGAGGGGAGCATACAGGATCTGCCTAAGCCAGAATCAGAGGATATTATCTTTTTTCTCTTGGTACTTTTTTTCTGCTCAGAATTTGATGAATGATGTGTCATTTCCAATGCAGACTGCAACACGAACAACGGTCAAACATTTGCTGTTGACAAAGTGTCTTTGTAAGTAATCTTGACAAGTATAGGCATCCATTTCTCCAGTTTTCTCGACACAACCACACAACATCCTCTCCTATCTCGACAGTGACCCCAAAGACAGAGTCAGCCAGCTCTACAAATCTGCCTTGGCCCAGGGACGTAAACTGTGTCAGCCAGTCCCTTAAAAAAAAAAACACTGTAATCCACTAATATTTCCCAAAGTCGAAGGCGAAGTGTGTTATTAATTTTGTTTGGCCGTCTCAAACAGCCCTCATAAATAGACGGACGGGACGGTAAATTAGCTGTAGTGCAGGCCTGTGTTCAGCATGTGCCGTCCAGGAAGAGCAGGATATCGCATCGTCCCCTGCACTGAGACTGACAGGATGAATGACTGGGCTCGTGTGGCCAGATGATCTCATTAAGGGGCCGGAGCAGAGCTAAGGCTTCTTAATTTGAATTTATTGGACATTTTTTACAGAAGATGAATAAAGAAAAGGGGCAAGAAGAAATAAAGTTTAAAGAAACATGAGGGTTCAGTGTTTTTGAGAGGCTAGCTGATGTTAGATGTTAGGAGGGCCTTCCTTCTCACTAAGTAGCCTAGTGGCTATAAAAACATGATAGCATTTAGTAATAATTAGTATTGTCTTAGTATCCTGTGCTATGCATTGGCTTCAGTTATTGCAATTTCTCTGATACACTGCATACTCCTTAATACTCTAGGGGCGGCAGGTAGCCTAGAGATAAAGAGCGTT